TGGAGAAGGGATGAGCGCTGAAAATAAATCTGGAGGGCAGATGGGAAGGAAACTGAAAGAACGCATGGAGGGTGATCACTGAGGAGTAATAGGTGAGGTGAGAGCAAAGACATGATTGGAACTATGAACTATCTATGCAACTGTACTCTAAATTGTTATATAAGAACATAAGTTGGTGCATGTGTAGGTCCATTGTTACGAAACATCTCTTCTCAACCTCTCCAAACCAGCGCACTCCTAACAAAAATAATACTCCCTCCGTCCCAAAATAAGTGTCTCAACTTTATACTAACTTTAGTATAAAGTTGTACTAAGGTTGAGACACTTATTTTGGGACAGATGGAGTACATCCGTTTGACCAATGTCTTTGTACATCTCTTCACTCTATGTAGAAAAGGTCGATATTGTGAATATCCTAATACTATTATTCTTATCTAAGTTGATGCCGGATGTAGAGGAGGCATAATATGCTGTTCACACCGCACAAACGTTGTTAAAGTGTGCACTTGTCCACTTTATTACCCTTTTAAATTGATGCCAGTAGTTCGAGCCACATAGCTAAAGACAACTTGTCGTGCCCTTTATATATTTCTTTCATCACCCCGAAATACATGATATGATATCATTCACCTGTTGTAGCATATTTATTGTTCTGTAGCAATACATGGGCAACTTACTAGTTATGTTTATTTAGAGGTATAATATCACAAATTACACACTTGACTTGAAAATGACATTAAGAATTTCAACAAATCACACTCCCAGGGAATACTCCATTGCAGCACTTGATTCAAATAACTCCCTTATCCCAAAATCTGGTTGCATCCTCTGTTCCTGCCACAAACCGGTGATATCTTCACTTGTGCCCCTAGGCTGCCACTGGTTGGCCATGACAGCCTGTCCTAGTTGCCTGTCCTGACATTCAAAACGTTCAGAAGGCAAAGAGTATTTTTCACCTGCATGTGTGCTATTAAGTTTTTCATGACAACTGGTGTTGCCTGGTCTCAAGAAACAACGTCTCCTGGCATTAAATAAGTGAGAAACTCTGTTGCAGTCCTCTGCAAGCATTGAAAATATTCCAATGGCTGAAATCATTACTATTTTCAGTGATCTGCTGGTGTGCCATTTTTCCAGAATTGCTGCTCCTCGTATGTCATTTTGAAGTCTAACCTTATTTTCCCCTAATTTATGTTCATGATTTAGGAAGAGTCTTATAACAAGATCGAGGATAAAGTAGCCATGCTGAAATCTCAAGGAAAAGAGGCAGTTAAGAGAAAGGACTACCTTGGCGCTTCAAAGCTCTACACTAAGGTACGTGCTTGCATACTAACATTGATTCCATTTCAATGCTATTTTAGGTGTCTTATGAAGTCACACTGATGTTTCATATTCAGTGTTGGTGCAACCTATTTGGTCATGCTTTTCTTTTTCGAACCCATTGGCACTTGCACTGAGGTTGTTTTTCCATAAGCGAGCAGCCTACAAAGGCTAGGCCTCGGATGCAGCTGGTTGAGCACGCTGACGGTTGGTGGTACAGTTTGTGTTTTGCTGACCTTTTAGTTAACCGAGAATTGATGGCTGTGTAACTAATACGGCTCGGAACTAAAATAGCTAGCCGGATTATAAACATAGTAAATTATGCAAAACCACATGTGACACATAACCGTAGATGCTATGGTACTTATAGTTTCACCAAACCATATGTGGTTAAATTTATAAGCATGATGGCTTCAGTTGCCACCTGCTGGGCCATCCGATGCCTCGTTCCTCCATCCCAGCATAAGAGCGTATTAGTCACTGTTTTGGACTATTCCATTCACTGCCGCTGCGTATTATTCCAGAAACCGACTGATCTGCCTCATGTTACGCACTGCCTGCTAAGAAGAGCTCTCCACCAGTCCACGCCTAATTATCCAATATACTATCTGATGGTATTAATACATGAACGAACCAATGGACTAGGACATATCTTCTTTCCTTGATTTTGGGCCATGTTCGTGCCAAGCAATCAAACTTGGGCAGTGTGACTGGCTCTTTGGCTGGGTTGGTGCAGTACCGAGTGGTGACGCTACGAGAGTACAAGTTTTCACTTTTGGGCAGGCACAGGAGTTGTTATGCTGGAGAGAATCTCTTGATCTGTATGCATGTAGGATGTAGCTATCTGAATTGCACTAATAACGTACTCCCTACTATATTGGCACATCAGATTGCCTCCGTGCTAGGGAGAGGCAAACAACATGGTGGTGCCGCTGGGGCCACCTTATTACCCTTGTGCCATTAACCGAAGACCTTTACATCAAAGATAATATAGCCTGGGGTTATATGTCACATGCCAAAATACTCAAGGTTTTCCGCAAGTACGACCACAGAATGAGGGTTTTCCAATATTTACTCTATTAATTTCCACTATGTAAACTACATGTTGGATCAACTCTAGGATGTCTTCCGGGTTTTTTGTGTTAGAATAATTTCATGAGTAACCTACAAAGAATAGAGATAAATTAGAAGGAAAACTAGCTCTGCTGGTGAAATTTGCAAAGTAGCGCTGTCTGCCTTTTGTCCCAAAAAATTGCGATGTAATCTTCATTGCTGCATACTAGAGTACAGAAACTACCAAAGTTTAAAATGACCGCAAAGTAAAATCCTCTCTAGTCGATAGTTTTATTCTGGGGCATGACTCATATTATGTATTTTCGTCTTCAATTTAATGCAGGCACTTGAACTAAGGTATTTAGATGAAACATTGTATTCAAATAGGAGCCTTTGCTACCTGAAAATAGGCAAGCCACAGAAGGCTTTGCTGGATGCTGATCTTTGCATTGCAAGAAAACCCGAGTGGGTGAAAGGTTACTACCGGAAAGGAGCTGCTCATATGTCGCTCAAGGTCAGAAATCTCTGACAGTTTGGTAGTTATCTGTTGCCCTTTTTTACATTTGGCGTCGATTCATCTGTCCAACGTTCTGTTGTCGGCAGGAGTACGAGGAAGCATCCGAAGCTTTCCAAGATGGACTGGAACTGGATCCTGGGAACGATGACATAAAGAAAGCATTGCGGTAATGTGTCTATCTTTTATTCATCTAACACAAGGTTAGGACAAATCATTTGGATGCAGCCATCTCAGTAATGCATGCTGTGGCTGTTGCTTTCATACAATGACCAAGTCTTCATAAGTTTAGCTACTGCGGAAACACGAAACTGACAGTACTGAATAATTGCGGCAACCTTGTGGGGTGGTGGAACCATGTGGGTACTCCGAGGTGAGGGGAAATTCAGCAGGCTAGTCTTACACATCTGTGGGAACCTCATCAGTCGCTTTCAGGATTCCAGGAAAAAATCATAGCAACAGAGCTCATCACGACTAATTTTGTCTGGCGATGATGCTCCCTGTTCTGCCCAAAAGCTAGCACATCATTGATTGGTATCACATGACCATTACACACGTACAACGCATCACACACGCATACACCGCTGACTGATCTGTGCAGCATATATCCATGACAACATATATATCTTGCAGAAGCTTTGGAGTATATTTGTATCTATCACCATTTCTCATTCGCCTTTTTTCCCCCAAAAGAGGGATAACACCCTCGGCTTCTCATCACCGAGTGATGCATACAGCCCTCCATTATTCAATTTGAAGTTTCAATTTCTCATGCGTGTTTGATTGATACCCTTCTGTCCGCAGGGAGGCTTGGGAGGCGATGTCAAAGGATCAAGCCGCTGGAGGAAGCATCGAGTCCACAGATTAGGCCGGCATTGCTCTGCCTGCACATGCCTCGTTGCGTTCCTTCTGATTCTGTATCGGCGGTTTGATCGTAGTTTTCTAGTGGAACCTGTGTAGAGTTTTTTTTGAACACAGAATAGACGTAGATGCTCATACATACATATGGAACCTGTGTAGAGTTATTTTGTGCAGAACCACGACCCTGCGGTTGCATGTCTAGTGTATGGCGAGTCGAAGGGTCAAATGCAACTAGAGTTAATCTCAGACTCTCCGTGACGCTTGTCTGACCGTTCTGGAAATGACTCTTTCTGCTAACGTGTTTGTGACCTATTTATGTGGTCTGCTCTCGAGGATAGGGTCGATTGATCCGGGACTGTTGTGATCTGAGATGTGATCCGGGACTAGTGCACGGTACTCTTTGAAATGTCAGTTTGATTTTCAAATGTGGAGTGCAATACCAATTAAGGCTGCGTTTGGTGCACAGGAATTATGCAGGTTCGATTTCCACGGGAATATTTTCCTGTAAGCCCATTCGCTCCACAGGAATCAGCACTGTTCATTTCACAGGAAAGTGCCCTCGATCTGTACTTTTCATGGGAAAGAGAACATCTACTCAGACCAAAGGAAACGCCCTGTTGAAAACCTATGGTTTGCACTGTTCACCCACCTTCACTTCCTATACTTTTATCCATTCCTTTGCTTTGCTCTCCTCCAGTCCCTAAAAGACTCCTTTTGAAAATCCCACAATTGCTTTTTTGTGTGATGAAAACATATATTAACTAACGTAAACCATTAGAAGACCTTTATAGAAATTGTAAAATACATGCAAATTTTCAGGGGTGCTGAAGTCCTCTCTGTCTGAGCAGAGCAAACTTGTTTAAACCCAGAAACTTGTAGAAGCAGCCGCTGGGAAGTCGACAATGTAATCTTATCATATAAACTTGGTCAAACGTAGAGAAGTTTGATTTAAAAAAAATAACAATACACTTTATAGTAGTACTTCTGAACTGAGAGAGTATTTGTTCTTTTCACCTGCAAAGTTCGAATGAGTATTTGTTTCCCTGATTGGTAACGGGAATTATTGAGAAATACAACAGGAACATATGACGCAAGCACGGCCAGAACAAAAGAAAAACGAAGAAACTTATAAGATGGCTGGTGGTTAATTACAAGGGAAGTAGCCATACATATACTGATTTTACATCTTCCTTTTCTCATTTCGCGTCCAAACGAAACTAACGACAGCAAGGACGGAAATGAAGCAGAGTTTTGCGCATGCAAATGATGCCAAGATCACGGCCATCGGCCGGCTTCCCCTAAAAGCTCCGCCCGGCCGGCGGCCTCACAAGAAAGGCCGCGTGTTGGGGACGAAGACGAACGGCGTGGCGAAGCACGGCTCCACGCCGCCCCACGCCGGGCACGACGCCGGCGGGCCTTTCAGCGCCGCCATGTAGACCGCGGCCAGCTTGCGGACGGCACGGCGGAGCCAGCGCAGGCGGAGGCGCCGCAGGAGCCCGCGGCAACGGCCACGGCCACCGCCTGCCCTGCCACTGCCGCCGCCGAGCCGGGCGACCTGGAGCTTACGGCGCCGGCCGAGCCCGAGGCCGCGCCACAGCACCCCCCGGCGCCGCGGCATGAAGCTGCATGGCGCGCCCTCCCCCATTCTTCTCGTGCCTCTCCTCCCTTTCTCCTCGTCTCGGTGGGTATGCCGCTATGGTATGGCCTGCAGCCTCGTACTTCTTTGGCGTAGTGCTTTAGGAGGAGTCAACTTCGGGAAGCAGCCAAAGCTCGAGGTACTGCTGGTGCTGTAGTTGGCGTCATGCAAAGCCATATCTATCTATCCATCCATCTATGGTCTATCTCCAGCAGCCCTAGCTATATCTCTAGGGGCATTGCCGTTGCGTGGCTCGCCCCGCATGCGGCTCCAGTCTTTCTCGTACGTTGGCCGGGTTCCGGTTCCAGGACTAGCTGGCTAGTGTCATCCCTCCCGGCCACTTTGGTTTTGGATGCTTTCCCTGTCGATCACGTCCACAAGGCGGCGGGTCATGGCGCCCACGCACTCTCGTACGTACGTGGCGGCGGAGCGGTAAATTCTTCTATGTATCTTACGAACAGGCTTAGGTGGAAATGTTTGATTTTCCTTTTTCCGTTTTATGGGTATTTTTGGATGTTGGGTGAGTGTAAATGTATACACGTAAATAATATACAATATATGTGAAAATTGCATTATTATATGATTATTTTTTGCATAAAAAGTAGTGCAAGTCACGTGTATAGTTCTGTGATGTTTTTGTTTCATTTTTTTCTTCTGAAAGGATAATGCATTCCTTGTTAGAAACTCTTTTTTTGTAGAATTTCACTACTGCATGTATCTTTCTCGCATATTATAAAAAAAATGCAATTTATGTGTAAATTGTGTGCAAATTTTGTCATTATTTGGTTTACTTTAAATTTTGTTTTTTTTTCTTGGAAGGTAATACCAATATCACTAATTCATTCATGTGGAGGAGCGGTCACCGATGGGATGCGCATAGCAGTCAGGGCTACCATTACGAAGTACGTATGGGGTCACATTTTGAATGCCAACCCGCCTTACGGAAGCAACTTCGTCGCCAACCGCGCTCATTGTGCTCAAAGTCGACCATGCGTCAGGTTTTGCTCGTTCCAAGGAGT